TGGGATCATCATATTTAGATGACAATGGCATCTATACCATTATGAATATTATTACCATGGTACTTTTTGGTAAGTGATTCTAGATTTTAACTTTACAAATCATATAATGCTAAAACAAAATAAGAAAACAATAGAGTCAAGAGTACAAAAAAACAAACCTGTTCATACGTAATCCCTCGTTTCAACTGTCTGAATAAACCAAATTCATTCTCAAATCAGCGATACCTTCCTTCACCCGTTTGACAGTTTTCAGTCTGAGTATGTTTTTGCCTCCAGCATGACTCTGAGAACAGCTTGTGTTTATTTGCCCTTGGACAAATTGGACAGTTGTTCATTTTTGAAGGTTTACCTCATCCAAAAAGTCCTAAAGAAACCCTCTTCTGCCTAAACAAACTCCTAGACTCTGGAGGAGTCTCAGCAGACCACCACAGGGACCTTAAGGGGACCGGTGAGATGCTGGCATTGAGCAGGGCTTTTGATATCACTCCCTCTATTAAAGCAACCTGTGCTCCTCTGGGGTTTTTAAATGCATTTATCCTTTGTCCATATCACTAAATCAACAGTCTAACAGGAGACAAAGAGGACGCCACAGGGTTTTGAGAGAGCTAGAAACGGGAAAAGTGACTTCTAAAAATACCCTCCTCAATTCAACTGCTTTGTAAATAGGCTCTATACAACCTGTCAGTGAAACCGTCTCGGAGCACTTGTTAAGAGAGACATGGTCACCTCATCTATTCCACTTACTGATACAGTTCAATGGACCGATATATGCACACACACACCAGAAGAAATATTTTTATTTTGATAATGAGTGGCAACTACACTACCGCTCTATAAAAGGTAAAATGTAGTAACCACGGCAACAGCGAAGCTGGGAAAAATGTTTTTTGATTGAATTTTGATTGATTTGATATCAGTTTTCACACTCTGTTTTCTCTGACTCTGAGCTTAGAGCCAAACACATCTGTCACTTGACAGATCATATTCTAAAAGATTTGATTTTGCTCATAATGTTTATGTCCTGGATTTATTCATTTATTAAACAAATATTTTAAAAGCAATGCAAATCTCACATAAAATGACTTGAATACACAACATACAGTTTATGATCAACACTACATGCATATTTCTGAATTAATTCATTTTGACTCTGAGGATTTAATGTAAAAAATAGCAGGGTAATACAGAGACAAATATCCTTTAGTATTTTGGCATAATTTCATAAGTCAAATATTAGTTCATTAGACCTTTTCATGGATATTCAAGTTGCAAAATGTCATGTGATACAAAAAGTCTATATGATATAAATTACTGATCATAAACTTTAACAACTATTATGAAAATAATGATTAATATGTGGACACAAACACATTCAAGATGCAAGAAATTTTTTTTTTATTTTTCACTTGGTACACCACAACGGTTAGAGTTATTAATATTAAACTAAAAATCAAATGAACAATATGAATACAAAGTTCATCTAGATTGATAAAAGTTATGGGGACACTTATTTGTTATTGACTCTAAATCACAAAATGTTCAAGGAGCTTCAGGAGCAATATTCTGTCCATTTAATGTTTCCATTTAGCAGGACTGATAAGGAACATGATTATATCATAATCCATCACTACGCCAAAGAGCCCTTTACTCTGAGTTTTTATGACATACTGTGTATATATTACTGAGTGTGCTTTGCCATTGTGCTGGCAGCCAGAGGTATGTTTTAAGGCCTCTTCTGAATGAATGAGCCGCATGTTTTTTCCAGGTATTCGCAATGGCTCGCTCTTACAGTTACAGACTGTTAATGCATCTGTGGTACTGAATGAGGAACTGAACTGGAATCTTATGCTAGGAATCTTATCCTTTGACCAAAAGGACTTTGAGTGTATGTTTATATGCGAGACAGAGGGCAAAAGGTGACCTACTTTAGTTTAATTTCACACAGCTGCTAATCAAAAACGCTTTCTCAACAACAGAAAGAGAGGGGGGGGGCATAACAACTGAGCAAAGAGGACGTAACGGGGGGAGGGCACAGCGGAGGTTCATAGGGATAAAAATTACACGTGAAGAAACGACGTGAAGGAGAAAAGTGAAAAAGGCTGAAGGAAAATAAAGTGTGATGGAAACAGAATGAGTCAGGAGGTGAAGGCAAATTTTTTTTGTGCTGCAGGAGACAGGATCATGGGAGAAATGAGTGATGAAGGTGGAGAAAATTTGATTTCAGCGAATGAAACGGGAAACCAGAAAAACATTTGCTTTGGTGCTTAATGAACTTATGAAGAAATGCTTTTGCTGCTGCTCTCATCTTACAGCACTTGCCAAGATAAATGGATGAGGAACATCATGTCAAATAAAGAATTATTAATAACCGAAATCAAACTACTCAAGCTGGTAGAGAGTCTGCAAAGAACAAAAATCATGCAAATATTACCTTAAGTATTTTTTGTCTTGTTTTCCAGTAAAAATATCACGAGTTAACAATGAATAAAATAAATATACTTTAGGAGCAAAATTGCATTATGTTTTCCGAAAACATATCATAATTTAACCCACTTGAAAATAGTATGCAAAAACGTTATTTATTTATTTATTCATGCACGCATGCATGCTACAAGTTCTTAAATGCTTAAAATCTGCCATTTTCAGCATTTAAACCTAAAAAATAAATAAATAAATAATTCAAGATTAAATATTACTACAAATTTAATTATTTCATTTGATAAAATTCAAGATTATGTTATATTACATTAAATATTATATCTTATGTGAATAGGTATATCTTACATAATACATAGGCCTAAGTAAATTTACCTTTTTTATGAATAATTAGCTTTATGGATAATATATTATCCATTAACCCACTGGAAAATAGCATAAAGCATTAAACTCACACTTGTTCTATTCCCCAAAAATCTGCCAATGAGGTAAAAAATTAATAAACTAAATGTTTTTTTTTATCACCATTTAACTACGACTTTTGCCTCAATAAACTCCTAATTTGTTGCTTATTAATAGTTAGTAAGGTAGTTGTTAGGTAGGATTAGGGATGTAGAATATGGTCATGCAGTATATGTGCTTTATAAGTACTAATAAACTACAAATATGTTAATAAAATACATTCTAATAAGCGACTAATTAATAGTGAGAATTGGTCCCAATACTAAAGTGTTAGCATTTTTTTAGATTAACAATTATTAATAATAAATAATGCAAGACTAAATATTATATATGAAATAAATTGATTCAAGGGATAGTCTCTGTGATGTTTACTGGCAAACAATACAAAAACACTGATCAAGAAAATGCTTTTTAAAGATCTTTTTACCTACTCAAAGAACGTCTATCAACTCTAATCTGAGAACAAATTACACTCTGAAGTGCTCTCGAATCTGGTACCAAACCTTTAATTTTAAGATAAAACAGCGCAATTACTACACCAATCAACCTTTCGATTAAAACAAGAGGGAGCAATAACCTTCCAGGCTTCCATCAAGGTGAATCACATTATAACGTTTACAAATATGCCCCACTTATCACTCTGAAAAGCCTGTTTGATTTATAGACTCTCTTCTGCACATCTGAGCTGAAGAACAGGACAGAACTGATCTAGAGGGAACAAAAGCGGTGACTCCAGCTGGGCCGTCTCGCAGTGATGTCAGTAACCATGCCAGTTATCGATGAAATCTATGCAAATGGAGCCGCACACACTGTGCCTACGAACACAAATCGTATTGTGTGGTTCCAAGTGGCACGACACCTGCGTAAAAGAGTGTGTTTGGGCATGTGTTAGTATGCAGTCAAATCAGTTTATAATGAATGATTAGACAAAGTTTACACTGGGGCCACTGTTAGCATTGATGATGCCAGCTGATAGGGTGCAACACGGCTACTGACCAGACAGCCACAGGAGAAGTAAATGATAGCTGAGAAATAGTTTCATGGTCTCATCCTCAGAGATTTACTTCCACATACTGTACATTCTGACCTGGATGACCCTGTCCAGGAGAGATTGGTGAAAACCGCTCTCTCTCTCTCTCTCTCTCTCGGTTTACTCTCAGTTTGTTTAACAGTGCTGTATTTGCTTGGAACTCTTTGTACATGGACGGTTACACAAAGTGCATATGAAAATACATATGCAATCTTCTTATTATCTTAACCGTTTCTCTTAGACAGCAATGAGATTACATAGAGAGCAAGGCAGATTTAGCTTCTTCTAAAAAATACCTCAAAAACCAACAAACAACTGTTTCAGGAGACTCTCAACTATTATTTAAAATTAAAGCATTTTTGTTAATTAAAATTTAAAAAAACTTAAGAGATGTTTCCAACTAAAGATGACACACTAAATTTACTAACTGAAAAAAAAAAACTAAAATTGAAATAAAAATAAATTGAACCTAAATAGTAAAATTTAAAAAACAATAAAAATGAAGAAATTGCTAAAATAAAATTAAAACTTAAAATACAAAAGTAAATAACAGTAAAACAACGCCTCAAACGGTGATAAGATTTGCCAAATCTGTGATTAAATTAAACATTTCTCTTTACATTCTTTCAAGATCAAAAATGCAATCCATGTTAATTTTAAAGATATATACTTTTACTGTATATCAACAATTGTCTTATTTGTGTGTTATGTTATTTCTCCATCAGAAACAGTTGAGATTTTTCAATGACACATAATTCAGAACTTGAGCATCCTGAGCTTTGAACAAGAAATATCTTTTACTTTGGGGCATATGAGGAGAAAGACAAGCTTGGAAGTTGCAAACGAGAACACCCTCAAGTGAGCCACAAAAAAAGTGTTTTTTACTATATACTGACCCAATTACAACACACTCTGGGACGACAATAAATGTATAAAGTGTACATACAACGACCTACATAGCCAGAAACCTTATACAAATACGCAGGTCAAGCAGAGCACCCAGGCCAATAACAACAGCCAGATCTGAATCACAGGTCAAACTAGAGGGTGGGAAAAAGAAAAGTTCACCCACCGCTCCTTGTCCCTCTCTTTCTCCTTCTGCCGTCTGGACTTGTGCAGTAGTCCGATCAGAATGACAGCAGCCCGAATGCTGGCTTTTTTGGAGTTGACTTTGGCTTTGGAATCCGACATGCTGTCCGGCCCACACCACGAAACAGACTTTGGACCAGGACCGTCCTGCGCTATTCTGGTGCGACCGAGCTCTCTGCCACGGGCCAAGGAACTGAGAATATACATCTCCCGTCTACCTCTCTCCTTCTCATGCTCGCTCTCTCTCTCTCTCTCTCTCTCTCTTCTCCTGTCACTCGCTCCTACACCAGTTCTCATTGCCTGCCTCTGTCTGGATCTGATAGGCTGAACAGAATGAAAGCCACGCCCACTTCTCCCCAGACCCTCCCTCCCCCCAATCCCTCTCTCACGTTTCCATCTGCTCTGTTCCTGGACTGTTCGGCTTTCTGTTGCCAGACCTTTCCACACTCGTTCAATCTAAAAAAGAAAACTGCCTTCTCCTACCCTCTTCACGCAAATACAGTCAGACTTAATTGCATCTTGCATCTTTCTGAATCAAAATGCACCTTTTGTTCAGTGCAGAAAGAAACTCCATCACCTGTCGGTCAACATCCTTGACCCCTTTTCCTGCTTTCTATGGCAACACAAAACGCTTTCAGAAAATTCAGGCGTGTAACAATAAGGCGGTCAATATTAGTGACCTTCTTCCTGTACCAAAGTAAGAATCTTCTTTATATGTTCCAGTATATTTGCGTTTGCATTTGCCAAGGTCCGGCGGTTCGCTCCCTCCAGCATCTCGTCTGACCTGTTCTTCATATCTCAGTCCTGTCTCTGTTTGTCTTTCATCTTGTCTTTCTGTTTGCCTTTTCCCACTGCAGGAAGTTACTCCCTCTTCTGCTGTCTGCCTAGTGTGCTGGGTCTGACTCTTTCCATGCATATCTCGCTCATAGATGGATTAACGCATGGGCCTGCTGAGCATTTGCCCCAAGGAGGTCTATAATACCTGGAGAAGGCTATCCGTTAGCATTTCCATTCATCTCAGTGGCAGCTGCTCAGCTGGTGCAGGAACCCCCAGAAGTACTGGTTTGAAATCAGCCTTTTTTTTTTTTTTTGCCCATGGCACCACATTAAATAAAAATAAAAAAGCTTGGGGTCAGTAAGATTTTTATTTTTAAAGAAATTAATACTTTTATTCAGCAAACATGCATTGATTTGATCAAAGACATTTATAATATTACAAAAGATTTATGTTTCAAATGAATGCTGTACTTTTGAACTGTACAATCTAAACTGTAATTTTAAAAATTCTAACTGTAAATTCTAATAATACAGTACTTCATAATACTAATATTTTTACTGTATTTTTTTATGAAAAGAGAGAGACTTCCGTTAACAATTTACTTAAAGCATTTATGTATAATAATGCATTATAAAAGTAGTTTTAATGCATTAATTAATTATGCCTAGTAATGCATCTTTTAATGCATCGTACAATCTCATGAATAATTGTAACCACAGTTCATACAACACTTATCAATTCATTGTTACACTATGAATTTAAATTTGGTTATAATTATTTACGATAAGCTATAATGTATTACAATGCACATTATGAATAATTATAATGCATTATATGCTTTAATAACACTTTATAATGCATTATACAGTATATAAAGGCTTTAAGTAAAGTGTTACCAGACTTATTTCAAAAACATAAAAAAATATATTACTGACCACACTGTAGTTTTAAGTAGTACACTCTAAAAAATGATTTTTTGAAGTTGAACTATAAGAGTATGTTAACTTAAATCTATCTATCTAATTTACTTCTTGACAATTCTTTGTAATTATTTTTGAGATTTCTGAGTGAAAATTGCTTTTACACCAATTTCTGTAAAACTTGCGGTGCTGGTTGATCTTTGCCACCCAATCAACACTGGAAGTATGCAGTGTATCACGGCACAACAATGTCATGATGCTTTCCTTGACTCACTGCTTGTCCAACACTTATAGTCAGATGTGCTCTTTGTGTCTAATAATGGCCATAACCCATCCAGTTTTTTTGTTCTGTTTGCAAAAGATTAACTACCCATGTCTGCAAAAACAGATGGTTCTCTGACAAGTAAAATGAAAGCTAAAATTGAAACCGTGGCCAGCTGGTTCTCTCTTAATCAATAAGGATTAAAGGTGACATGAAATCAAAATGGACTTTTCTGCTTTACTTTCTTAAAACGCATTCCTGATATTCAATGCACACTGTTCAAATAAAACATGTTTATATTCTTAACCTTTCATCTTTAAATTGCTCCACCTCTAAAACAATTTGCAACTTTCAAACCCTCTTATTTTTCAACTCAGGCCTTGCAACCACCAACTTTCATGGTTCAATCAGTTCCAGATCAATAAAATCAAGTCCTTTTTTCTTGCTGAATATTCTGTTCTGGGTTCTTTTTTGATAGAAATTAATATTTATTTTATTACATTTATACAGCTAGGAGCCATTAAGTGATAGTAAAGACATTTATAATGTAACAAAAAAAATTATATTGCTAATAAATGCTGTTCTTTTGAACTGTCTATTCATCCTAAAAAAAGTATCACAGTTTTCATAAAAAAAAATATTAAGCACCACAACTGCGTTCAACATTGATAATAATAAGATTTTGTTTGTTTGTTTTTTCCACCAAATCAGCTTATTGGACTGATTTCTGAAGGATCATGTGACACTGAAGACTGGAGTAATGGCTGCTGAAAAATCAGCTTTGCTCTTAAAGGAATAAAATACATTTTAAAATAAATTAAAATAGAACATTAATAGAATATTAAAATATAACAGAGTAGAAAACAGTTACTTTAAATTGCATTAATATTTCAATAGGTTTAAATAATTAATTAATTTTTCTATTTATTTATTTGACTAAATAAATGCAGCCTGGGTGTGACATCTTTTTAAAAAAGTCAGAAACTGACCACAAACCTTTGAAGTGTACATTTAATTACTGCAGTAAACTGTGTTGTTAAAATTAGACATGAATGTGACTTGTATCTATTACTTCACTGAATGTGAGATACTGTTCCCTCATGAGTGCAAAAAAATTAATAAGAATGAGACAAAAACAAGCAAACAGCTGCAACAACAATTGCCTCAAAGAACCAATGTACCCCTTCCCCAGACTCAGGCTCTGCCATGGTAACGTCGCCTCAGATTCCCCAAATCTGCCACCAAGATCCTCATCCCCACAGCAACCCTGAGCTTCCTCTGGGGAAAGGGCTGGTTGACAAGCAAGCCAGGTCATGTGATCAGTGGAAGAGATGTGGTATCTTGTATCTGTGGAGAGGTACTGCGAAATGAATATGTGAGGTGTCTGGTAGGGAAAGGTGAACTGTATTCTCTTGGCTGAGCTGTTAAAAGAGTTAGATGGAGAGCGAGAGATTCAGAATGGACACAAAGTGAGCAGTCTTTCCACAAAGATCCATGAAGCTCCAGGCTAAACCCCTGAGAGAGCCACAAACACAAATGCATGAGCAAACATCCCCCTCTCCCACTCCCTCATCTCCTTCAACACACAAACACGATTCCCACTGCCCCTCAGCACAGCACACACACACACACGCACACACACACACACACACACAAGGTGTACAGCAAATACACTATAGGACATCACAAATTCTTCCCTTCCAAACATCTGTAGAAGCTCAGAGCAACACACATATCTCACACCTTTCCCTGCACTTCACATGATATCCCAGTGGTCTTCTTCATTCAGGTGCAAAAACACACTTTGGCCATCACGAGGGGACGCAGGGCCTGGGAAACGTCTACAGTGACAAAAGAATGGCGACAAGTTACACCACATAACCTGCAGAGCGTCTGCCATATGAAAACTACACACCTGTGCAGTTTATCACATACTAACACAAAAAAATATATACAAAATCAAACCCTGAAACGCAGTCAGAAGAAAAATCTTCACTGTTTCTGAAGTAAAAGGTGAGCAAACTCAAAGCAAGATCAAACTCCTCAGGTTAGCTACATATATTACATAGGTTGTTTTCAAAATTAGTGTTTTGAATATTTTAATTTAATATTAAACCATTTTCTCCAAATCTGACAAAAGGTCTAATCTACTGAAGTAAACAAGAGGATGTAGCATAAATAATAAAAGACAATGATGCATAAATATAAATAATATTGTAGCATAAATAACATTTGACAAAAAGTTCCTAGCATAAATAATATCAGACAATAATAATATCTTAGCCTAAATAATATTAGTCAATAATACATAAATAATATGAGCCAATAATATTTTAGCTTAACATAAATAATATTAGCTAACAGTATATTAGCGTGAAAATTATTAGCAAATACACAAGTCTAAATAATATTAGCCAATCATATCCTGGCATAAATAACATTAAACAATCAAATTCTAGCTATAATAATATTAGCCAATAATATAATAATGAATATAAATAATATTAGCCAAAATGGCACAAATAGGCAGTAATATATGAGCATAAATAATCAATATTAATATTAGCCAATAAAATCCAAGCAAAAATAATGTTATCCTAGCATAAATAATCATTTACTAGCACATAATGTTAGCAAACAGAGTTAACCAATCAGATTTTAAAGGATAAGTCCCGGCCTACTTTATTTCACACTCAACACATTCAGAAATATGTGGTTTTGCAGAAGTACATGTGTTCAAAACTTGTTGTTTTAAGGAGACAGTGAAGGTGACTAACACTGAACCAGACAATTGGAACACAAGGTTTTAAGGTTGCCATCAATCCAGTTTCTGTCTGAAGCTCATGTGCTCTAAATTTATCAAAAGTGTACAGTAGATAGGTCTATTAGCCAGCCTAGATAGAAATGTGTTGACGCTGTATGAAGAATGAGACAAGACAAGAAAAGACAAGGTGACTGAGAGAGCAGCTGAGTATAAATCCAAGCCAAACACTGCAGACAGAAATAGCCGAGCACCGCACAGGAGAAACATGTGGCCCTAGAGCCAAGCCCAGCCCAGCCCAGCCCAGCCAAGCCAGAACTCCTTAATGAGCACAGCGCTGTATCAGTGTGTTTACACACTTTCACACTAACACACAGGCTCATTCACAATCTCTGAAACGCATACACACACTTTAGCAGCCACTTACACAAACACCTACTCTTGGACAACAGCATCTTACTGATATAATTAGTTTGACGGGAACATAAACACTGATGCAATGTACAGTTGG